TTTTTTTTTTTTTTTGATCTGAGCCCAGAAACTATTTTATAACCTTAAACTAAGGTTGCTGCTTATTTATCGTGATTTTTGTTTTTTTATTAAATGTGTGTTGTTATCCGAAAAATTTGATGATTTCCCTATTGCAGGTTCTCAATGAAGTTTTTCATCTGGTGTGCTCAGTTTTAAATAAAACTTACTTATTGGTGTTTTGAAAAACGTGATGAAAAATTTGGCGATTTTGTACTGTGGCATGAGTATTTTGACAGAGTCTTCTTTCTTCTAATCAACCAGTTATTATCTCGGTATAGTCTAAGTGGAAGTCTAGGATAAAAAATTGATTGGAATGGCATGGAATACTTGGCGTGAAAAACCTTTAGGCATTAAGATCTCGAAATTCTCTTCCTAAAGCTGCTAGGTGTATCCAGTTTAAATATTTAGTTTGAAAGTTAGTCAACGGGGAGGGGAGAAAGGGGGTTTTGCGCTTAAGTTTTGAAGTTGTGCACTAGCAAAAAAAAAAGTCAAAAATTGATTTCTGCATCATTTTGTACTCTTTAGAAGAGTGTTCTTATGTTTTGCAGGTTGCAGGTTGAGATAGGCACTTCTAATAATTATATTAATGTATTTAGGTGGTTCTTATTTAGTTGAAAAATTATTTAGCATTCTTTAATATCTCCTTTTCATCTAAGCTAATTTTGAATTGCTGAACTTTTTTACAATCTTGTGATTTACATGATATGAAGTATTTGGTTGAAGTAAGCGTCACTATTCCGAATATTAATTGGTGTTGATTAATGGATAAATTATTGCCTATTTGAAGTTTTTAAGCTGAAAATAATTTTTACTGTAGATCGTGTTGTGTTATATTAAACTGTCACGTCATTTACTTTTTGTGTATCTATTTGCGACGTCCGCTTTTTCTTTGCAACTTCAATGCAGTTATTTCTCACTGGTACTATGAGGTTTGCAGGAGTTAGGCTGTTTCGAATGGATGATGAGACCTCCAAAGGTCAATCGTGTCCCGCGCATCTGTAAGTTAATGACTTCAAGTTCTTCTTGTTTGAGTGTGTTGCTAATAGAATTCACAACTTTTATTTTCTTCATTTATAATGACAAGATTTTACTTTAGCGACATCGCTAAAATCACCGGTATCGGATAAAAAGCAGTGTTTTGTGATGAATGGGTGTATCCAGTCTCATGAAAGTTCTTCTCCTGGGTATCTTTTATCGTTGTTATTGTTACATTGCTAATACTGTTTTGGCGTACAGCTTTGAAACTTTTTTGCTTGGAGAGTTGAAAAACTCAGAGCGAAAGGAGGAGAGGGG